TATCAAGAATGATGCTCTGATGAAAAATTTGAAATCAACTGGCAAGCTTTTCCACCCTAATTTTACTTTTACCCAGAAACTCATATTTTTTTATCTCGCCTGACACCTGGGTAAAATAAAAAAATTTCAGGAAGGAGGTGGGGGGAAAACATGATTTTTCAAGAAAATATATATCCCTATTCCCTAAGTATATTCCTAGAAAGTCTATTTCCAATGTATTTATTTGTACCTGGACACAGATTGGAAGATCTATCAGAATATCTTCATCTAAACTATCCTCATCTTCGTCCTCAAACCCCTCAACAGCCTCCTCACCACCACCTCCAACCATCCTGATCTGAAACCCGAGAGCTTTCAGTACAAAATATCAATCGTCGAATCAAAGAAAGGATGAGCGTTAAACACGTTAATCATTACATTTATTCAGGAAATACATTTTTTTCTAGGATTTAATTTAAGATTTACATAAAAGAATAATTTCTTCAAAGTTTTAAAAAGTTTGAACAAAATAAACAAATGCTCCATGTGGTTGATTTGAAGGGTCCCAGGAAGACTGGGAATTCTAATGTTCCTACTTAAACTTCAATAAAAAGCGTAAAAAATTAAAGATTTAAGCAAAGTTACAATGATGAAGAAAATAACTCAAAACTGAACTAATGAAAACAAAATTTTTAATAAAATGATAATAAAACTAAACATACATGTATATTGTATGTAAATATATAAATATGAAGAAAAACTAGCTAACTTCTAGAGGTGGGAAACAAGATTTTTTCATCTACAATGTTTAATATAATTTAAGAATTTCTATTCAAAGAGTTGACTTTAATTCATGATAAATAAATATCTAATTTATAAAAGATGGAGGATCCCAAAGTTTCAAATTCAATCGCAGTTTTGACTTTTTTTTGTAGCTTTAAAGCTAAGATCTAATATTTTTGTATCGAAATATACAACCCTGAAAAAAAACCGAAAATTGGAAGAAAAACTGTCGTCTACCCACCACAATGAGAACTGAAAACCATATTTATTCTTTCTTTAGTATAATCAGAACTAGAACATTTTCACTGGTCAGTTGTCACCGTTTATTAAGAATTAGGCGTCCGTCGCGGGGTTGGGCGCTGGGGAGGGAGGGAAGGATTTCTCGACCAATAAATCGATTAGGAGAAAATACAAGGAATTAATTAAAGAAGACGTTTTGATGACATAAGAGGCATAGTTTAGTGTGAGAGGGTCATGTACAATCAGGAATCAGCGTGGGTTGTACTGTAGTTGTATTTACGGTACATAAATGATCATTCTGTACAATTAGTCTAAATTATTCAACATATTGTACAGTGTACATAAAGAAGATACGGGTCTAAAGTTGAAGTCTCCGGATCCTCATTGCATTGTACAGTACCCTCTATGCAAATACAGCGTACAATATGTACAAAACAATTAAACATGAACTGCAGGCTTCAAGATGTACAAAAAGAACAGGTTTCTGTTGTCAATTGTATTAGACAACAACATTAGAAGTCCACGCCTGAAAAGTGTAAATGATTAGTTTCTGGTTTTGAGTTGTTTCATGTTTGAAAAGTTGAAAAACTTAAATAAATCAAACTTTTACAAAATCACAACTCCTTTTTGCTGTTTTTGTTAAGCTGTAATGGTTAAAATGTAGTTAAGCTACATAGCTCAACTCATAATCTTTATGCAACACTTTTGAACTCGATAGTTTAAGTTAAAACTTTATTATACTAATAATCTCATTGGTCAAATAAAAAATACTGACTTTTGATTGGTTGAGGTTTTATATATCCGGACCTTTCATTAGTTTGGACCCTTGAGAGACATACCACAGAAAGTATCTTTATAAGAGACTGATGTCTCTCCTCATACTATAATTTTCAAATACGTATACCTTTGCAAACTTTATGGCGTAGGATCTTATATATTCGAACTAAAATATAAATTCTGCTAAATAAATATTAAAGGTTTACAAAATCAGTTTGCAACGGTATGAGGATTAGATTAGAGTTTGAGTAGAGTGTTCAATTCTTTTCTTGTCTACACTGACCATATTTGAGTTTAGAATGAGAATTGGTGTATCACAGTATAGAACATCTAGAGAGCCAGGTCATGATATTCTTGGCTCGACCCTCCTCTGCCCCCAGCTGGTGACCACGCTCTGCTCCACGAGGAGGATTTTGAGCCTCCATACGCTTCTCCATGTTCACCTTAACAATATTGCTCTGAGCATGGAACTTCGGAATAATTGGTTAAATCTGTCTACGCAGAAAGTTCTCAAACTTAAGATGAACGAAACCAGATTGCAAGTGTTTCTTTGTTAAAATTTTCTTGACTTGACCAAATGAGGGAGATTTTTGTCAAACTAAATAACTAATTGAGTAAATAAAACAATAACTTTGGCTAACTGAATGACTAATCTTGACTAATTGAAGTAAAAATTTTAAGTAACTTAAGTTCAAATTTTGAGAAACGTAAGTTCAAATTTGGAGTAACTTAAGTTCAAATTTTGAGAAACGTAAGTTCAAATTTGGAGTAACTTAAGTTCAAATTTTGAGTAACTTAAGTTTAAATTTTGAGTAACTTAAGTTCAAATTTTGAGTAACTTTAGTTCAAATATTAAGTAATTAAAGGTCTAATGTGACTGACTAAAAATCCATTCTTCAGTAACTGGAGGACTTATGTTGACTAACTAATAAACTTATCTAACTGAATTACAACTAACAGAACAATTAAACTGAGTAATGACTAATATTGGCTAACTGAAGGACTAACTTGACTACTGAAGGATAAATTTGACTAAGTGAAGGATTAACTTGACTAATTAAAGGATAAACTTGACTAACTCAAGGATTAACTTAAATAACTGAAGGACTAACTTATCTAACCGAATGACTATCTTATCTAACAATAATGACTGATTTAACTAACTGAATGACTAATTTAACTAACTGAATGACTAACTTAACTAACTGAATGACTATTTTAACTAACTGATTGACTAACTTGACTATCTTCTTGACTAACTTGACTAACTGAATGACTAACCTTAATGTCTCTAGCCAAGGTGAAGAAAGCCTCCTCTACATTGATGCTCGCTTTGGCTGAAGTTTCCATGAACTTGATTCCGTACTCTATTGCCAGCTGCTCACCTTTCTCTTTAGACACCTAGATACAGGACAATCATTTTTAGTTTATTGTCTATTTTTTTGTCATGATAAGGAATATATAATGAAGAATGAATTCTAGTTGAAGTTGGATTTTAACTAATTAATTGCAATAGAGAAGACATTAATACCTGTCTTCGATCATTCATATCACACTTATTCCCCAGAATCATCTTCTCCACGTCAGCACTGGCGTGCTCCTCGATGTTCCTGATCCAGTTCTTGATGTTGTCGAAGGACTTCTCGTTGGTGATGTCGTAAACCAACATTATTCCCATTGCTCCTCTGCACAATCCAGGATCATCGATAGATATCAAGTGATTATGAGAGCATTAACGATGTATTTATAATTATGCTTAATAAGTTCACAGCGAAACTTACCATGATAAGCCATAAGGAACATAAGGAAATGGAATCTGTAGGAGACCTTAATATGGACCCCCCCCCCCCGACCGCCGCCAGGCATGGGAAGCACCGTCCCAATACACGATCCAAAAAGAAGCAAAGCTAAATATCTATTGTCATACCAGTTATATGATTGACTAATAACCATTCATTGATAAATTATAACAATTGTCCCCTCGTAAGACAATGAAGGAGATGGCCCTTTTAGGCTAATTCAAACTTCTTCAAAAAGTTTTAAATAATGAAAACTCTGTTCAAGTCAAATAAGACTTTTAGGGATGCCCTACCAACACACATCAATCCCAGAATGAATTCCGGTTATATGTTAAAATATTAAGATGATGTCTGTAGTTTCCTGTAGTAAGCTGTAGTTATAGTTCTAAACCTCTCTTGCCCCGCGGTATCCCAAATCTGAAGCTTTATCTTCTTCCCGTCCAACTCTATAGTTCGGATCTTGAAATCGATTCCTAAATAATCAGGGTTGTGTCTTCTAAATCATTCAAATCTCATTAATCAGGGATGCATATTTTTCAGAAAAATTATTTAATAATTTCAAGAAAAAAATGTGAAAAAATTGGACATCAAAAGGCAACGTCTTTCATCATTTTATAATTTTTACCCAATCTCATTGATTTTCCAAAATTCAGCGAATAAAACCCTAATTATAATTTGCGTTCCACGGAAGCATATATAATATATATCTTAAGGGAGAAAAAAAATTATTTCCAAAACGGGAGGGAGGGGGGATAATTTTTCGAGATAATATACAACCCTGTCTTAGATCTTCATGGGAAAAAATTTAATTGGCAAGACAGGGCAAATATTATTTTTAAGTGTGAAGTTAACATCTGCAGTTGATTTTTATTTTGGTTTTGACCAATATAAACTTAACTCTTTTTTGTTCCGTTGTGTTTATTGGCAGCTACCAACTCGCCACTAATAAGTTGGCAAAAACTAGGAGGTTGGGTCCAGACTACTGGGAACAGATAGGGGTACGTTCCGTCGCTCAGCCGATGGCGAGAGACCTGATTTAATCAATAAACTAAGTTGACCCATTACGTTTCTAATTGACCCGGCTAAGTTTACGCTACTTTTTACTATTCATAAAATCAGGTCCAAGGAAACGTTATTTTTTCAGTCAGTAGGTGAGAACTAAAATGTCAGGGTAGGCTTCATTTAAAGATGCTTCAAAAATCAATATATTTTAATTAAGAGGTGGTGGGGAAGAAGGTAGATTTATTTAGTGAATATACAGAAAGAAAAAATTTACATCATACATCTGTTAAGTGGATTTGGTGAATCCAGGGACCGGAAGGAGTATCCGAGAGAAACCAAACCAAACATTTTTAGAGATGGATCCAAGAAAGTTCACGTAGTGCATCAGAGTGAAATAACAGTCGAACGCTAGTATAAGCACCGGCTACTCGTGGATCCTTTTTTACGTCGGTCTCAAATCATTTAGTTTTTTAGCGGTTGTGCTTCTTTTTTGGTATATTTATACGAATTACGATGTCCAAAAAATGTTGCAAGTTACGTAAAGAAAGTTGCTCAAAGTCCGGCTCATTTCAGACTCAGATGAAGAGATAGTTGTTGGTTTAGACTGAGCCTACCG